ATGGTGGCGGGTTATTTTTATATGTATTTGTTTGTGTTTTTGGTCCGTAACTATTTATTTATTTTATTTTTATTTTATTTTTTTTTGGGGGGGGGGTTATCTTGGTCTACATTGTGGTTATTTTTCTCTCGTGTGTTTGGTTATTCTGTGTTTGTGTGTGTGTGTGTGTGTGTATTGAACCGTCACTATATACAGGGACGAGTTGTGTACAATTCCCAATCTCTCTCTCTCTCTCTCTCCCTCCCTCCTACACACACACCGCGGGAAGCAGCTCGACCAAACCATGTGAAACTCTCGGGGTTCCCAGGAATAGTTGCAATAGTTTGGTCTCAGTGGTACAAATACCCCGCTGGTGTTTACTCCGGCCAGACCTGGATTATTTTCAGTGGGATGTGGCTCTCTAGATTCTCCCAATGTTTTGTTGTGTTTTAGACGATTTCGTTATTTCGTTCGTTTTTCATCCATTATCAGCGACTTTGAGAATCACGAATCAATGTGTATTTTAGAGAGAATTGAACGAAAATTTGAAAAAAATAGAATAAGTATATATATACGTGATTATTTATATGTAAACGATGTAAAAACTGAAAATGCGATCGATGTAAATTGTAAATGATTTCGTTCGTTATCTGTTCTCAGTACTTTGAAAATCACTAATCAATTAATATAAAATGAAAAGTGAATAAAAATAGTTAAAAATGGTGTGATAAAATATGTATTATGTGTGTATATGTATAAAGGAAAAGAGATAACAACTATAAAAAAAACATAAGAAAATACTGTATACATGACAAAAATATGTATACAAGAGACGTGAAAAATGTAACACATTCTGTATACAGTGAAACCTCCATATAACGGACTTATCTCTTCATATATTCCGTTAGATGGAGATTTCACATCTAACGGACCCTCGATATAACGGACTTACATCTCCATAGGGTTAAATAAAGGTTTCACTTTAAATTGTAAATGAAAACGATAGATTTGTGTAATAAAATACTTAACATTAACAAACACAAACCAGGAAGCAATTACGCGTCATTAAGTCTTTTGTTAACAGTTCATAACCTGTTAGCTGGGTCAGTCATTGTTACGCGCTATAACAATGTTGAAGTGCGTAGCTGTGTCGACCTAAACTAACATAACATAACATAAGCTAACATAACGTAACATAGCATAACATAACTTAACCTAATCTAACATAACATAACCTCACCTAACCTAGCCAGCTGTGAGTGTTCAGCCCTTCTCAACATAGCTTTTATCACTGATCCTTTTAGCTTTGAACAAATACCTTTAGACTGACGCTGCTGTATTGATGCTGTTGGTGCTGTGTTGATGTACTTGCTGTGTTGATGTATTTGCTGTGTTGATGTATTTGCTGTATTGGTGCTAATTTCGTTGGTGCTGTAATTATGTTGCTGTTTGTGCCGTAATATTAATGTTGGTGCTGTTTTATTGCTCT